AATTTTAGTTAATATCTAAAATTATGGAAAAAATAATTTGTGTTTTAAAATGTTGAATAAATCTAATATAAACTGTTAAGTTCATTTTATTGATTGGATTATATAGTTAAAGTAAATATTGATTCCATATTATTCTAAATTAGAAGAGCTTCTTGAGCATGATCAATCAGCATTTAAATTGCTGCAATTTATTTCTGATATAAGGGAAAGAGAAAGAATATTTTTTCAATATTAATTCTTTAAATTACATTAATAATCATGACTAAAATTATGATCAGATAAAAGTGGCTTTTAAAGTCTTAATGTCTTTTCTTGAACTTTTGGATTGATGTGGAGATATATTAAAGTGAGAAAAAGTAATTATAATTTTAGATAATCTTCTCTTTGATTTAGAATATCAAAATGGAATACTTAACTACATGATTATACTTAGATTCTTTAGGAGATGGAGAATTTGCAATGGAAATGGTAATCTTAAATAATAATTTTCTTTTACCGTAATATAACGGACTTAACTTAAGTGTTATCTTCTCCTTTAATCTTATCCATAAATGCAACTGTTATTAATAATTAAGCGATTTAGGTTACTTACTATAAAGGTAGCTACCATAAGAGATAACAGATCAACTTTTCACTCTCTACTCATCTTTAACATTTCGGTACTAATATATATCCTACCCTCATACTCATTTAACATCACACCTAAATGATAAACAGTTTCAAATTTGAATGCTGAGTTTGAAACTTTGTATAATGAACAAGAACTAAAAGATGTTGGAAATAAATAAATTAAAAAAGAATGGTTAGGTTCATTAGATCTTGAATGTAATAAATATGTTATAATTTAAAATTAAATGATGTTGATATATCCTTATTTCATACAACTTTCATGTCTCAATATTTATATGTTATCTTAATTCAGATAGTGTGAAATTAAAGTTATACATTTTATAATTATAATTTATTTTAAAATTACTTTTGATTAACTTAAAATAGATTGAATATCCGTCATCTATCTATGATTTTAGATGCATTTTTATTTTATATATGATGATTGATGTATGATTAATTTATTTGGTTTGTGAAAATTAAGTAAGCTAAGATTGTATCTTTGCATATGAATTAAATGAAGGAGTTTTTAAGGAAATTCGAAATATAAAACTATAGTTTATACCTAATGTGCATCGATAATGAAATTGTTAAATAAATTTTGTACTTGGATCATTAAAAATGATGGAAAATATTTGGTCAAAAAAAATTAACATAATAAATATATGATTCTTAAACTAAACTTAAATTGAGTAATATAATAGATTTTCTATTCTTTTTTATTATCAAATTAAATGAATTTATATTATATGTGTAATAATACATTAATAGAATTACACATATATTTAAAGAATTTTAAATAGCTACTTCCTTTAAATTTTATTAATTTAATGCAAGATAGAAAGTAAAGAGCAGATTCTTTAGTAAAAAAGACAGGATGGAATTGCTGTCAATATTTAGAATTCTAATATATGTATGATGACAAAACTAAATCATGGAGGTGCTGTTTGGTGGCTTATGTAAGGAATAGTAACTTAAGATGTCAATAATGCTGATGTAATTACAAATGGATCTAATGTTGGAGTGTTAATTACTCCTGGAGCTAATAGCTTGAATCCCATAAAGACCTCTACATATGCAGATTTTTTAAAATATGAAGAATGGAACATTAAGAAAACTTTAAAAGTTATATTTATATATTATAAATATTATTATTAATACAATATAATTATCTCTTAAATATTAGTTTTTATTCAGCTGTCAATTTCAATATTTTATAAAGTTTTAAGATTAAAATAATCTGGACGCATTCATAAAACTATTATCCTAATATGTTAGTAACAATCTTATATATTATTTAATTAGAAAATTAACTATATGTTTAAGCTATGTCTCCTTTTATAATTTTACATTACGATTAAAATGTTCTTTTTTAGGCCTCGCTCTTTTTTATATTTAATTTACTAATTAGTTTCTCTATTTCAAAATGATTAGAGTCATTATTTAATACATTAAATAATCATCAGAACTCAAGATCAGAATTTTGAAATCAACATTTAGTTTATTGTATTTAGTGAATTAAATTCAAAAATTAGTTAGAAAAAAAATTGAAATCACAATTACTAGAAATTAAAGAATCTTATAAAAGATGGAGCTATTTGGGTCGCGCGTAAATTTATTTAAAATTCAAAAAGAATAAATTTCTTTGAGAGTTCAGTTAAATTATAATTTAATTTACCATTTTATAAGAACGGCTAAAAATAGCCAAGAAAGACATAGTAAAGATTTTAGAATAATTTATCGAAATTTATGCATGTAAATACCACTTTATACTATACTTTCAATTATCCTTTATAGTTATTCATAGTTTTAGATTATCTTCTATATCAATTTCAACCCATTTACCAATCTTCATACCTTTCATATTATATTCACCTTCATGAATAACTAGCTTTGAAGTTAACCAAAAATCTTGAAATCCCTCATCCAATTCTTTCCATTTTCCAATCTTTTTCTATCCTCCTTCTTAATCATATGATCCGCCACCACTAAACCAGAATATATATCCTATACTTATTTAAAGATTACATTAATTGATATTCCTTCTTGTTACTTATGAAATACATAATATCCCATCTACCTATCTTCATACCATTAAAATTATATTAACCATTATAAGTGACTTATTTATCATCTTAAAATCTCTCATCTAAATCTACCCACTTTCCAATCTTTTTCTATCCTCCTTTTTAATCATATATTCCACCACCACTTAAACTACTTCAACAATATTTACATTTATTAATTTTTCAATCCTTTATCATAATAATTATAGCAAGTATCCCATCTACCTACCTTATCACCTTTGATATTATATTCACCAATATAAGTGATTTATTTTTCGCTAAAAAATTATTCATCCAGCTCAATCCATTTGCCTTACTTTTAACCATATTTATTATAGAACCCACCACCACTAAATAATTAATAGACTAAATTACATCTTCTTAACTTGAAAAATATTCTTCCAATTACCCATTCTAAAGTTATTCTGATATTCTCCAAGTTCAAAAACTTGTGCTTAACTAATTTATGAGTAAAAAAGAGAGTACTTTTGTTTTCTGATTATCCAATTCTTAGTAAAATTATTAGGAAAACTTAAGTTTATATATTTTGCTAT